CTTCCAGAAGCAACAATTGAGAACCTCACCACAGTGGCAAATGCAATCTTGGATCTTCAGTACTTCCCGACCACCTGGAAGAAGGCAATAGTGGTACTGGTTTCGAAAAAGGGAGCAAACAGGAAGCTGCTTAAGTCCTACAGGCCCATCAGCCTACTACCTACCAATGATGGCCAAAGTAACGGAGAGGTGTATCCTAAACCACATCCAAGATACAATAGAGGACAAGAAGGTGCTGCTCGATGAACAACATGAATTCAGGCCGGGACATGGCACCAACACACTCGCAGCCCGGCTGACAACAAGGATTCAGCAAAGGTTGAACCGCCGAAGCGGTCTAGGAGCCATCTTCATAGACATGTCAAACGCGTTTGACAAAGTTTGGCACCAGACCCTGATTGCCAAGATGATCACAGCAGGCTTTCCGGGCTACCAAACTAAGCTCATCAGCAGTTACCTATCTGGACGCAGCTTCCAGGTTAAAATCGAGAACCAGCTCTCAACCAGTCGACCAATGATGTCAGGAGTACCGCAAGGATCAGTGCTGGGCCCTGCCCTCTTCAACATCTATATGGCAAATTTCCCAACCACCACCAATACAGAGTGCTACATCTACGCAGCATCTATCCCCTGCTGACAGGTAAGCTCTTCCTGCGAACAAAGGTTAGAGCTTCATCATCAAGCGACCAGTTGCGTCCACTGCTGGACATAGGTCTCCCGTAGCTTTTTCCATCCTGGCCGATCCTGTGCTGCCTCTATCAAGTTGGTCTTTATACTTTTGATGTCGTCGGTCCATCTGGTTGGTGGACGGCCTCTACTCCTGCATGCGTCATGGCGCGGTCTCCACTCAATTATCCTTTTTGTCCAGCGATTGTTCGTAAGTCGCGCCACATGACCGGCCCAGTTCCATTTTAAGGTTGTTATACGGGTAACCGCGTCTGTCACTCCCGATCTCTCCCTTAATGTTGTATTTGGGATCCTGTCTCCTAGTGATACACCCAACATCGACCTCTCCATTTTCCTCTGCGCGATACTTATTCTATT